CGCATTGTAAAAATGAGGCGGAAGTCGTGCCCAACGTAGGCGGCGCCCTTCTTTTTAACCATGCAAGTTTCCTATACTTTGTGCCCAACGTACAGGGCGCCCTTCTGTTGCTAAGTATATCCAGACGCAAAAGGCGCCCTTCCTTTTCCGCTAATGGAGGAAAACTGTTTCACTAAGAGTGCCTCCGGCCATGCGATTCTGCACTGTATTGTTGTTTTATTCTTTACTGATTCATGATTATGCTTTAATTGTTTTGTGTATTATTTGGATAATAGCAACGATTTCTACCGCCACCAAGGAGGTTATGTATTCACCGATGTCAGTGTCTATTCCAGTTTGTTTTTATATCTAGTATCTTTGTTGAGAATTGGTAATAAAATACGCGACGACTTGGTAACGAACATTTGGCACAAGTTTTTTTAGATCTAGCTGTAGGGGCGTACCATTTTTCGTATTCCCACCATGCATTTCGGTGGAACACGGTGGAACACTTTTTTTGTGTGGAGAACTCTATCTTGTATTTCTAGTATCTTTGTGTTCAGCTATAGTGGGTATTCGAACCAAAACAAACGCACGAAGATAGGCGATTTACACAGTAATTTAAGAAAATAGCCTTTACTAAAACGTCTCATACACGCTTTGTGTGTAAAGTTGAGTGTGATTTAAATTAACAGAAACCATTGTTACATGTTTATGAATGTAACGTCATCTTTTCTGTACGATTGTGTATGCCAAATGTGAAATATAACGAGAATAAATTGTACTATTTTGAGAATAAAACGTACTGTACATTGGTCGCGTCTGCCTGTGTTACAGCACGACAACGGCAGCCGTGTATTCACTCACAGTGAATCAGGGCGTCGGTCGATGAATATGCTTGTTGCAAAACTCATGAAATGTGTTGTACATGCAGTTTCCAAGGAGAGCTAAGTTATTAAAAATGATTGAATAATGTTCCTAAATTCACACCAATAATTGGCAGACTGGATGTCTAAACAAGTAAAAGACTTGACAACAGCACGGAGCTGAACGTTTACAGTCAGGCCTCACTCAATCATCACATCCAGCCATGTCGCGTTGTTGTGCAACAAGTGTCAGGGGCCGAGGCCTACCCTGTAAAAACTCTACGTATATTTAACTTAATTTTACATGAAAATCAAATCAAACGTCTTTTGATAGTTCTATGAGCCCTCCTTAACCTATCAATGTTTTAAAAAGTATCTTAACTGCGTACTTTGGTTTTTTTGCTTGTTTTCCTGGACCATACAAAAACTCGCAATGTTATACTGTAGAATAGGACTTTTAGGCTCTGTGTACAATTTTATACCCATTCAGCCAAATTGTGATGACGTCATCTTTCGTCGCTAATTCGGTCTATTGTTCACCTATTTTTTGGTAAAGGCGTTGCTTTTTAAAAAAATCTTGTATATTAATTATGTTTGCATTTAATTTTAATTCAGACATTGATAATCATAATCGTCAACTTTCTTGACATCTGCTATGGTGTTATTTGCTTTCTGCCCTGTGTTATAAACAGTACAGTACTGAAATACTAAACTTTCAATCAGTTGAACAGGACCGGTCTTGTCGCGCGTGCTCAGCCCTGTGAATTTGCTTTGCGTAATTCATCACTCTCCAGACATGCACACTTGTTCAGCACGAATGGCCATGTTTTGGCCCTATCCAGCGCAAGGCAGTTAATTCAGGCCCATAGCCAGGTTTTTCCAAGGTGGTGGGGGGAAGGTTTCTGGGCGTGAGGTCCACAGTCGAAGCCCCGGTGGGGTTGGCGAAACCCCCAAAGCAAGAGGATTTTTGTGCTTTATGGGTCTAAATAATGCTATAAAAGCAGATATATTTGAAAATGTCTGTGTCTGGGTGGGTCTGCAGTGCATTAGTTGGGTTGGAGGACTTATTTGGGAAATTTAAAGAGGGGGTTTTGCCCCCCTTCCCCGGATACGGGCCTGTAATTAACAATTAAAGTTCTACAGTTATTTTATTAGTGAATGGTGTTTAAAGGGCGTTTACTGTTGGAAATTCTTGAATTTAGGGAAAGATTTTTCGTTATTTATGTTTCTGAAGTTTACAAAATCATTGAAAAACAATGCTGGTCGGCAGCAGATCAGTGCCGGTAGGATGGTGCCGTACGTTAAAATTTTGCTGTAGAGTAGATTATAAAAGTTGTAGGCCTACAACTAAGGCCTAATAATAGACCTAAATATTAATAATAATGTTATGCCCAATAGTAACGAATAATAATATATTATACAGTATAGTATAATGATGTGTTGAGAATAGGGCATAACCATTAGATTAATTAATAATAGTACATTATTCGTTTATACAATATTTATAAACACCTAAATATATATGAAATGAGATGCATTAACGTCTCCGCAACGTACACCCATCGAAGGCTATATTGTTTTACTGTATATTCATGTCAACTTCGCTACAGCTGTTCGCTGAACAACAACCCTGAACATTCAGTAACCCACCCCGCGGCGCCACAAAAGAACCAAGTTATTCGGGCGTGCTGGTACCACAAAAGAAACTGTCACGTTTAAGCAAAGATAAGAAGACCATTGTTGTACGTGCACATTTATGTTACCGAGGGGAGAATTCTACTTCACTGTAGGCGATCACCCTTGCCTTACTTTACCGGTACTTCCCAATACCAGTGGGAATTCTTTTGCTTACAATCAAATTTTACACGTGTGAGAAAATCTTAATTTCCCACGAGCGTGAGAAAAAGAGTCCATAGCCTCTGAATTAGATAAGATAAGAAGACCATTGTTGTACGTGCACATTTATGTTGCCGAGGGGAGAATTCTACTTCACTGTAGGCGATCACCCTTGCCTTACTTTACCGGTACTTCCCAATACAAGTGGGAATTCCTTTGCTTACAATCAAATTTTACACGTGTGAGAAAAACTGAATTTCCCACGAGCGTGAGAAAAAGAGTCCATAGACTCCGAATTAGATAAGATAAGAAGACCATTGTTGTACGTGCACATTTATGTTGCCGAGGGGAGAATCCTACTTCACTGTAGGCGATCACCCTTGCCTTACTTTACCGGTACTTCCCAATACCAGTGGGAATTCCTTTGCTTACAATCAAATTTTACATGTGTGAGAAAAACTTACTTTCCCACGAGCGTGAGAATCAAATTTTACATGTGTGAGAAAAACTTACTTTCCCACGAGCGTGAGAAAAAGAGTCCATAGCCTCTGAATTAGATAAGATAAGAAGACCATTGTTGTACGTGCACATTTATGTTGCCGAGGGGAGAATTCTACTTCACTGTAGGCGATCACCCTTGCCTTACTTTACCGGTACTTCCCAATACAAGTGGGAATTCCTTTGCTTACAATCAAATTTTACACGTGTGAGAAAAACTTAATTTCCCACAAGCGTGAGAAAAAGAGTCCATAGCCTCCGAATTAGAGTTTGATAAAACTTAATATACACTCAACTAACATGAATTTCAAAGTAGTACAGCATACTGTATATGTTTTATAATCAATCGTAAAATCGCCGATAATTTACTGTTAAGCTATATGTTGCGTTCTTGAAAGTTGGAAAATTTGACCATGAATGTCCTGGAATTGTCCTGGAAATTTGCTTGTTTAAAAACGTACGAACCCTGTGCAAATAAAGAAAATATTCAAGGCAAATTCAGAAAAATAGTTTTTAACATAGTTCTCGTGGTAGGCCTACCCCATATAAGATGTTCTCTTGACTTGTTCTAGTTTCCAGTTCTCCTTTATCAGGTGTTGTTTGATTTATTTCTAGTATACTGAGAGCAGGAGTTTAGCCAGAAAACCGAAATAGGCCGTCCAAAATAAAGCCAGCTCACCCATCGGCTCAGTGCCACGCCCATTTTTGGGAATCCCCTCCAAATATTGGTGCAAAAAAAATGTAAATTCAATTAATAAATGTGGCAAAGACAAGCCAAACCAGTCACTCATCGCAAAAATCGATTTTAAGTTATTAACACAGTGTTAGAGAGTAAAATAATAGCTATAAAATGATAAAAAAATCATTCAAATCGGACATTTCCTTATGAAGTTACAAGCGTTTAACCCCACGGCTGTTTAAAGAACAATATATGAGAAATTAACCGCCAAAGTTTATGATTTCAGGCATTTCTCATGCAGAAACTATCTTTAAATCCTTAAAAAGTATTGTTTTAACATTGAAAATGGGGAAAATAACAGCATAGAATGATGTCTTGATATATAAAGGTTAGTTTAATGCAATAAAATAGATTTTTAAAAATTTGACATTCCAGCATGTTTTGGCCATTTTCTCTGAAACACGATTTGCGACGAGTGACTGGTTTGGCTTGTCTTTGCCACAAATGTTGTTTTTATCAAACTTAAATATGATTTAGCCTTAGTTTAATGTAACATTCATTAGATTTGAAGAAAATAAAGAATTTGCTAAAGGCAGACCAGACACAATTAGGCTAGGCCTAATTTATCATTTATTCGTTTCATCTGATTCTAACGTCATTTTAATATTTTTGGACATAATTAATTTTTTTATTCATGTTCATATAAATTATATGTGAAACCTGGTTCGTATTTTTAACATACAATATTCATTTTCAGGATTATCCATTACGATTTTTATAACTTAATCATTTAATAGCATTAATAATAATTATTATAATATAGTATTTTTCGTAGGCCTACAGTATATGTATTAATATGATTTATTCTGTTAATAATTGCTAATAATACATGTTATTTTATCATATTTAGATTTTAATCTGTTTGTAACTTAATTATACGGATCCCCTAGAGGGACATCGTTAGAAAAAATATTGAACTATTTCTAGGGAACGAAATAACAGAGATTTTGTATTCTTTTATAATAGAAATTTCTAACTTTATTAAGTGTTATTAAAAGCTTTGCTAATATTAATAAACCTTTTTCAATAAAGAAGTCTTGGAAAGCACGTAATTAATGTAAGAAATCACATTTTTTTTTTCATCTAATGTTAAATAGTGAAACAAGAATTGGATCAACCAAGACAAATTTCTGATAAGAAACTGTCTGCAAAACTATATGAGAGAAAATCTTCTGGTGAGTTTTAAGAAATCATTAATTTAGACTTATTAAATAAAATCTATAAACACTATTATGTGAGAAAGAAGAATGAAATGTGAGGAACATGAAGAACGTAGAACTGTATAAGAGAAAATTTTCTGGTGAGTTTTAAGAAATCATTAATTTTAAAAATATATATATGTACTTATGTACTGTGTGTGTATTTCATGTACGTTTGTATAGTGTTTGTATAATTGTTCATGTGATTGTTTGCATCACTTCATTTTGCCTTAAATTTTTTTAGTTTTAGGATTGCTTTTAATTTAATTGCTTTTCCTTAATGTCCTTCTTGAAATTTTGAATTGTCGTTTTCTTAGCATAAGTCTTTTTTGTGAACTTTACTGTACATTTTGTTTTGGACGCACCTTGATTGAGAAGTGTGCCACTGATTGAAAAGTGTAGTTCCTAATAAATTATTATTATTATTAATAAATTATTATTTTAAACACTATTATGTGAAAAAGCAGGATGAAATGTGAGGAACATGAAATAAAAATCAGGGAACACACTAGTATTTGCCCAGTGCAAATTGGAAAGGGAAATGCAATCAAAGCGAGCACCATTTGAATTGGTTGGGGGGGGTTGGGGGTGCGGGTGCTGTCTTAGACTTGGGTGGGTTCCAGGGTTGAAGTTCCAGTTAGGTTTAGTAGGCCGCTAGTAGGTTTCTAGTTTACAATGATAAAGTTACTTTATAATATATATTTTAATTGTAATATTCACACTTTTCAATTATGTGGCTCACAAATGTTTTATATAACATTCATATAACATTCACTGTCTGCCAAAAAAAATGGAGAAACATTTAAAATTTATGAAAAATAGTGAATATAGTTTCGCATTTAAAAGAAAAAGTTTACTTCAAAAAATCCCTGAATTGATTACCCACCAATTTAAGGGTCTATTCAAAAGAAATGCAGTGAACGTTTATTTTAACTCACCATTTGATTTTTAATTGGAAATTACTAACTTGTTTATATACTGTATACAAATTAAACAATACAAAAATCATGTTCACCATGGTATAAGCTGATCAGATCACAAAAGAACATAGTTAGAGATATACCTAAAACTTCACAGGGGTCCTCAATGGTACATCATTTATTGGTGTTGTGTATGTGTGTTAAAATTGTAAAGTGAAAATATATGCCTCTGCTCCATGTGCTAGCCAATCTTATTTTGATTGGTCAATTTGAGGATTCATTGTAATTACTTCTTTTAAACATAATAACCTGCTGCTATATGATTTAGAAACAGTATGTTATGCTGAAACTTAATATACTCTACTTTTGATAATTCAAAATAATTTATTTGAAAAAACACATTTTTTTTTCATCTAACGTTAAATAGAGAAACAAGAATTGGATCAACCAAGACAAATTTCTTATAAGAAACTGTTTGCAAAACTGTATGAGAGAAAATCTTCTGGTGAGTTTTAAGAAATCATTAATTTAGACCTATTAAATAAAATCTATAAACACTATTATGTGAGAAAGCAGGATGAAATGTGAGGAACATGAAATAAAAATCAGGGAACACACTAGGATTTGCCCAGTGGAAATAGGAAGGGGGAATGCAATCAAAGTGAGTATCTTTGGAA